TTGAAAATACGCGAATACAGGTGTGCTGCAATCTGATTGGCTGAAACTTTAAATGGCTACAACTCCCTTGGTTTTCAACAAAACAGGGTGAAATTTTTAATATAGATAGGCACATTGGGCTCCTGTATCATGCCAGGGTTCTCCAAGAGTTGTTTTACTGTGTAGGCCCCGACACAGTAACGATTCAAATTTTATTCGTGCGACACAGTAAAAACTTTGAGACACAGTAAGATCTGTGATGATCAGAAAATCAGAACATAAATTCTCTCTGACTGAATCTTAATCAAACAAATCTACCGTCATTCAATTTTTAAGGCAGAGTACTTAATTATCACCAATTAGTCTTGCTTCACCTTGCCTAATCAATTATTGGACTTTAAGCATGAAGGAAGATAGACAAACAATTGCTAGTTGCATTTTTAAATATTATTTCAAAATTTAAAAATTTATAATAAATATGTCTTTATACTTCAGAACCACGTCTCTAGAATCATGTTGGCACTGTTAGTCAAACATCGTACCGTAATCGTTTCATTGATGTAAAAGTATTGTTGAAGAATTTAAAAGCACCCCCTAAAAGTATTTTACTATTATATAAGTTTCCTTTTTTAAATTTTGTAATTCGATCAACTGACAAAAAAATCACGTCAAATTTACTGTAGATCGATTGTATCGACCAGAATTTCCCTCTGCTCTTCAGAGCATGTGTAAACATAAAGCTATATACACAAAAATATAGGGTTTAATATATACGTACAACTTGAAGATAGTGATACAAGTATATTATATAAGTTTTTTTTAATCGTACTTATTTTTTAAGTTGTGTGTGTGTGGGAGGGGGATGTTTACAGTTGGTTTGTCTTATACATGTAGTATATTGTATGTACATTATTTTATGGATACATTTTAATTGTTTTAAATATCCATTAATTCTTTTAATTAATATACACGACCATACCATTTGTGTAACGAATAAGTGATTCAAAAATTGTGTGTATATGCTTTTGTAATTATAATGAATAGTGATTCAGTTGCCGAGAATTTGATCGCCAATATTAGTGGTTCACGTAAAGTCTGCAACACAGTAAAATTTCAAATGATAAAGATCCTTGTTACGATACTATCAAATTTGAATGCAACATCATGCATGCGCGTGTGCTGAATTCTGATTGGCTAATACTTATCGTTATATTATCTTTTATTTTTCAAAGAAATTCTTCGATATTTAATACAAATGTATATATTATGAGATACTATGTGAAAATTTATGTGAAAAATCTAGAAAACGTGTTCAAGCACATGCGCTAAAATTTGATTGGCTAATACCCATATGGCTACATCGGAGTAGTTTTCCAATAATATGCCCTTAAAAAATAAAGTGTCCATCTATACTACAAAAGTATTGCCTAATCCAATGAAGCTTGTAGGGAATGGGGCATCACAATGGATTGGGGGCCGTTTGGGGAACATCTGTAACGATTCCCGTTACAATTAGCACTAGTTTATCTAGATTTGTCCCAGTCATCATACAGTCAATTAGGGTATTTCGAATCACATTTTACATTTTGACTGCAAACGATTTTATTAACAAGTTTATAATTGGTTGTTTGATATTAAAGGAAAGCCAATTCTATGAAAAATCAGATCTACTTTATAGGGCGAGTCTATCTTTGATGCAGCGACCTTTACGGGGAGTATATTCGTTTACATCACCTTTTTAGTGTATCGCGGGTCACTTCCGGGTATTTCGAATCAACAGGTAAATGGGTTAAAAAAAAAGGAGAGATAACAACATTATAATTAATAAATTAGTTAGTATTGTTTACCAAAAGGCTCCAAAAATAAAAAGAATTATTTTCCTGTTCCTTGTTCTTGTTTATTTTTAAGTAGTTAAAGCCCCCCTCTGTAGTCGCACTATAAAACAGCGTTCTCATAGGCGGATCATGCAGAAAAGCAATTACCAACAAAATAATGGTTCCAGAAATTACTTTACTGTAATTGTTGTCCTGTAAATATAATTATGTCATTTCTTTTACCCACGTGTTTTTTTTTCAATACAAAACACTAAACATTGAAAATGTAATACCTAGTCATAATTCTACTAGTAGGCTACCAAAAAAAATTACAATAATGATGATGATAATAAAAAAAATATTGTAAGAAAAGGAATTAAACCAACTCATATCTATATTTCACGATTATCAAGTATGACATATATCACTGCATAACTTGCACATACGCATACTTGTACATATATGTGTACATATGCATGTCCGTATTTGTATGATAAAAGAATCAACACTGATCAAGTGTATACCCGGGTGGTTTTGTTATCTCATGCTTTGTCAAATCATTACTTTCATATCCCTTGCATTAAAGAAAAGCAATGTTATACAAATATCTGACATATAACAAGTGTGTAGCGTGTGCAATTTATTCGGCTGCGGTCATGAGCACACGTGGTTCGAAATACCCCAAACTGTAGGGGGCTACAAATGCGACCAGAACTAATATATATCTGAGGTGTTATCAAAAACAATCAATGCTCATGAAAGCTTATAAAATTAACGTTCTATCAATACCTAATATGCCATGTTTCATCCACAAACTAAACAAACAACGCCACGACATCGATGAGAAATACATGCAAAGTTTCTATACGGACTTTTTCTTTGAAAAGGTTAGCAAGTTTATAAATTAAATTATTAATTATTTTATAACCGCATTATGTTTACAGCTTTATTTTTTGTATGTAATAAGTACGAGGGTCGATCCAAAAGTTCGTTGAATTTCTTTCGAAAATTTTATTATGACGTGATTAAATCAAACAAACAACATATCTATAAAATAGAGCCATTATGCAATAATACTGTAAATTTTCACCATATTCCAATTACCATTAAGGCCACACGAGCTTTCTTAAAATGGACAGCTTTAAAATCAGGGGGAGACTTTGACGTAACGTCAATTTGAGTATGTCACGTCACGTTCTAGGAGCATCTCACCCGCACGTTTAAATCGACTTAGAATTCTGCGGAACAGTGCATTCTTTTCTCCATTTCTGTCTTGAGAAAAGCCTTGGTACTCATCTCGCACCCAATTTCTTCATATTACGATCATTTCTCAAAATGTCTATTGTTCCATATGATGTTCCGATTTCAATAGCAATGTCAAGCACAGTGCATTGACGGTCCACGTCTATAAACACTCTCAATTTGTCTTGGAGAAAAGAACGACTGCCCAATAGGCGGCCAGACCTTTTATCCTCCACGAAAGTTCTATTTTCCTTAAATTTCTTACGCCACCTGAAAGCCAGTTGCTTACTGCACTTTAGTTCTGCCTGTATCCTTAGTATATGCGTCTGAGTCAGAGTATTTCCCGAGATTGTCACAAAACTTAGTAACTGACCAAATTTCGACGTTGTCTAACGATATCTTTGATGAACAACAAATTATCAATCGAAAAACTAAATATCAAGTAAAGTCCAGAAAACTCTCACACAAAGGTTTAGAAGAGTTCAATCAATCGTAATGATGACATCATTTTCGTTTCATATTCACTTAGCTTTTTTTTCACATTGAGTATAAAAGAATTGAAATGTTGATGAACAAGTAAATGTGTCCCCCGCATTTTCAAACGTCCGTTTCTATGACAACTGCAAAAGTGTTACTATCATGAATTTTTAAAATATTCTCTTATTAAGAAAACTCAACAAGTGTATAATTATGTTTTCACCTGTAATTTTTAATCACTTCTATTAATAAATAAACTAGAAATATGTCCATAGGACATGAATGCCCCGCCGAGGGTATGTTAGTAATGCAACATTTTAATACAAATTGAGAAAAGTGAGGTCAAGGTCAAAGGAAAGGTCAAGGTGAAAAAATATTGATGCAGTTGAATAGCTTACATCAGTATGTATCAGCATATGAAGTTTGACACTAATTTAAGAAAAGTGAGGTCAAGGTCAAAGGAAAGGTCAAGGTCAAAAAATGTTGATGCAGTTGAAAAGATCACATCAGTATGTGTTAGCATATGAAGTTTGATAAAAATATTATGAATGGTTTCTTTAAAACTGAGCTAAACAATAATTTAAGAAAAGTGAGGTCAAGGTCAAAGGAAAGGTCAAAGTCAATAAATATTGATACAGTTAAATGGCTCTCATCAGTATGTATCAGCATATGAAGTTTGACACTAATTAAAGAAAAGTGAGGTCAAGGTCAAAGGAAAGGTCAAGGTCAAAAAATGTTGATGCAGTTGAATAGCTCTCATCAGTATGTATCAGCATATAAAGTTTGATTACACTATTTTTTTTGAATGGTATCTTTAAAACTGAGCTAAACACTAATTTAAGAAAAGTGAGGTCAAGGTCAAAAGAAAGGTCAAGGTCAAAAATTGTTGATGCAGTTGAATAGCTTAAATCAGTATATATCAGCATATGAAGTTTGATAAAAATATCTTGGATAGTTTCTTTGAACTGAGCTTTGAACAGAGCTAAACGCAAAGTGTGACAAAAGGACAGACTGAAGGACGGAAGGACAGAAGGACGGAAGACGGACATGACAAACACTATATGCCCCGGCCATATTCATGGCGGGGCATAATAAAATATAAATTCCACAAACTTTTGGATCAACCCTCGTATAGACCATGCCGTTAATGACTATTTGGTTGTCACACGTGTGCATGTGTCTGGATGCCATGTTTACACTTGTATAAACTATTAATCCGAAAATCCCAAAGTTTCCCAGCACAATGAAAAAAATTACGTGTATTTCTCCAGTGCATGCATGTCAATTATCCACAATTATCAGGACAACCAAAATTGTTCTGTTTTCCCCTTATCTATTTGACATTTGGGTGCGTATGATTATGTTATTTGATATGTCAACAACCTAAACATAGATATAATTATTTATTTTTAGGAAGATATTCATAAATGTCGGCAAATCCAACTTCTTAATCTCGCTAACGCCCACCTGCAACAATTATAGTAGTAATCCATGATCTGAAGTTTTTTAATAATCTGATCTCATTAAAAACAGTCAATTCACATAATGAATTTGTTAAAGTGCGTGGTTTACACTTAGCGCTAGGGCTAGGGCTAAGGGTTAGGGTTAGTCTTGGGGGCTAGGATGTACTTATTTATTAGTAAGTTTTGTTCTAGGAGAGCTAAAAATATACATTTGAATAATATCACATAAGAATAAAGATTTAAAATGTTAATATCACGAATATACATCTAAATAAAATAAATTACATCAATTACAATTTTAAAAAATGCCTGTAGAAGGTATAGCAAGCTAACGGGGAACTGTTAACAGCATGTGAAAATCAAGAGGCCATGGTCCACACCACTCACCTGTGTGTCACATTAACCCCTCCCTGATAAATGAAGAAGTATGAATGCTAATCCCCTGATTCCTACTTACTTTTTACACATCATAATTCAAGATATTTGGCATATTTGCTATTTATTTATTTCAATGAAATGTAGTGTTCATTAAAAAGTCTACATCTGCAGTTTTGAGGTTTAAAAGCAAACTCAATTTAAAATACTATACTTAGTTATATACATGCAATACCAGTGTTGATTTATAAATTGCTTTTAAATAAAACTCTTTTTAACAAAGGGTGTAAAATAATTGAAATAAGACTTTGAAACGTAACCCGATTTTGAAGTACTCATGCATGTGGATAAACGACATCTTATTCTTTCAGTTTGATAGACTTTATGTTAAATTAACTATATTTGATTTATTTTGTGAAAGTTTATAGTTGAACATCATTTGAAATTAGCCATAAAATGAGAAATTTCGGTGTATTTTGGTCTGTAAACATACCACCCCCTCTCCCTTCCACAAAACCAAGAAAGTTCAAGTATGAATTTGCTAAATAAATAATAATTCATTACACCTGTGAAAAGGAATTTTTGTTTCAAAAGGGGGGGGGGGGGTCTTATGAGGTGAAATTTTTAAGTATTACCAAAAATATAGAGTTATCTCTCTTTCTTTTAATAAATAATTCAAATTTTATGAAAATTTATATAAATCTCTATTTAATTTCAAAATTTAATTGGAACATGATATTTTTTCATAATTTGACCGTAAGTAAGGGGTAAAACAATACAATTGTTCAAAGTCCTTTGCAATGAGACCTCTTCTAACAACACAAACAGAGTTGGAAGCCTTATTCATGGATATTAAAGATTGCACACATGCATTGATTTCACTTGTCATAATGTTATGCTTATGAAATATACTTGTTCCACCCATCAAACTTCATAATTCCTTGTAAAAATTGCCTTATCAAGCCTCCTGTCATGTTCCCATCAAAAGCCAAGGAGTAGGATATGAAAACTTGAATTTACAGTACATTAGAAAGCTTTGAACATACTTGATTTAGCAAGTTTGGCTGAAATAGTCTGAAAGGCAGTTCTGAAAAAAAAAACTAGAACTGTCAAAAATGGACAAATACCCCCGCTGGGTTTTTCAGAGAAGGTGCCAAGTCACTAATACTAGTATTTGATGGATCTGGAAGAGGTGTTCACAATTTATTTAAACATTTAGAGTGAAAATTTATCGGTAATGGCTTCTCATATTTTTTTAATGAATGAAACTAAGGCGCAGCCTAATGAAACATCAGTAGTAATAATAACATTGTTTTTATTACATTGAAAAAATAGATAACAATTTTTCAAGTATTTCTCTATTGGAAAGAATGGATGCATTACTTATCCATTTTTTCTACAGTGACTATAGGTCAAGATCACGACACACCCTCAGGTCATAAGCAATCTTTGTGTGAAGTATTAAAATCTAATGTTCCTCTGTAAGAAAGATATGGACCGTACACGTTTGCACAAACAGACAGATGGACAAGGTGATTCCTATATATATATTGAAAATAGTATAAAAATGAAAATAAGAAAAGCTTATAGTGGGTTGTTTCAGACACACAAGCAAACTTTGATCAGAAGAGCTCATTTGAGCCTCTAGCTCAGGTGAGTAAAAGTGTTGAGAAATGAGTGTTATATCCTCTGGCATATTCAGATCTTATGTACAGAATCCCTCTGCTATCAGTTTCACATTTCCGTCACTGTCAATTTCATGCGTTTGTCCACTCCCTCCATATACTCTAATCCAGCTAGAGGCTTGGATGGTATTTTCTCCATTTCTCTCAACCTTGAATCCACCATACATCCCTGGAACAGAGTAGAAGAAGCTACCCTTCTCAAACAAAAGTGCCACTTGAGGAAGAACCTGTTTATTGTCATTTATCAAATTGTCAACTCTCCCCATAATGGCTTTATGTAATCCCTCTTCAAATTTCTTTATAGTGTTTTGTTTCTGTTTTATTTCTTGTGGGATTTTAATGAGTTCCAGTACATCTTGTGGGAGCTGTGACTTAACACCGATATCATAAGCTGTCTCCCCGGCAGAATTCTTAAGGCATTTAGCAGATCCAATTTGAAGCAACTTTTTGAAAACATCTTTGGGAGCAGATCCAAGTGCAGCATGATGAAGTGGTGTATTAAGTGTGGTCTGTACGTTTTCCTCCACAGGCCTAGTAGAATTAGCCAATTCTTCATCACCATCCACAAACTCTAGAAGTTTTTTCCATTCTTTATTCTTTCCTAGAATATCAATATTCTCCCAAAGGTTACCTATGTCTTCTCTCAGTACCCCCTTTTTCACTGTTATAGGATAGAACATTTCAGTATCTGTAAAGAAAATATGACGAAAATGTGACTTCATAAAAACTAGTAAGTCATTTTAAACAACGTATAAATGAACCTGAATTGGTATATATTTTTGGACCTATTTTGGTTGTAAATGATGAGAATAATAAATTTCCAAAATATCAAGAAATTGTAAACTTTCTTTGATGTTCAAAATCCTACCTTTCCATCCTTTTTAATCTATACAACTTTTTGTCACTTTAAATCCCATTATTGTGAAACTTTGAATGAAAAATTAAAATATATGTGGTTAAACTTATTCATTTTACTTATATAAACATGACTTAAGTTGTTATTTTCAAGACTTTTGATAAAAGTTTGTTTTTATCATCTGTCCTTAAGTTTTTGATTTTTTCTGCATTATACCTGATTTGAAAATTATTTCTTTACTCTACATGGTTTTTACACTTAGATAATTAAAAGTGTTGCTATGAGTAATTAGTTTCATGAAACATGCATAAATTGTCATAGAAATAATAAGTAATTGATACACTTTTAGTTCAAAATGATCATATTTTACAAGTGTTGTACAGAATTGTTTTAGCTGTGAGACATCCATTTCTAACTTAATTAATGTTCAATATGTAGTAGGTGTGTAAATTACCTCAGACTTTTAAATTTAAACCTTCAGGAGAATATTACTAAAAACATAAACTGCTGATTTCTAGGAAAAAATGCTGAACTTTGGTTTTATGATCTCAAGCATATGGTGGAAAAAATACATTTTCTTTAAATTTAAATTTTGATATTTCACCACCTTTTGATCATGCTTACTAAAAAAATGAATTTTGCAGAAGTTCTCTTGTCATTATTGATTGTAATCATTATAATAAGCAGTTACAGGCCTTTTATAACAATTTTCAAGTTAAAAACATGAATCATATGAATCCTAAATAAATAGAGGATATTCAATGTTTTGTAGATGAATATGGAATTTATTTCACTCGTGGGACAGGATTTTTTGATATTTTCACGATTGCTTCGCACTCGTGAAAATATCAAAAAATCCTGTCTCACGAGTGAAATAAATTCCATATTCATCTACAAAACATTGAATTTTCTGTTTATTACATTTTTTTTATTTTCCCTTTGCCTCTGTCTTTTCTTGACACAGTGTCATAGGCTTGAGGTCATATTGAGCGGTTGAGACGTCACAGCTTACCAGTTGTGAAATTGAAAACATTACGTAGCATAGATTTTAGCAACATATTTGGGAAGAAATTTGCAGTTTTAGCTCTATCAAGATGGTTATTTACTATATCTTATGACAGGCCAGAAATTATTTTTTTACTTACTTTAATATCCTTTCACACTGTGAGAGAATATCATTTTGGTATCCTTTCACACTGTGAGAGAATATCACTTTTATTCAATAAATAAATCACAGTATTTCACTGTTGAGAATGTAATAAATTAAAATATCTTATAGACATCTTAAACAAATACTATATCTGACTCTATCGACATCCCACATATTTGTAACTACCAACTTAGTACGAATATTGTAATAATGCTGTAATGATCATCAGTAAATATGATTGGGATGTGGACACAGAATTATCCTGCTATTGAAAAAGTAAATTGTGGGAACTGCGTATTTATTATAAAATAAAATTCTAAGCAGATGTTATATATTATTGATTGCATTGTAGCACTATAAAACTAGAGTGTTCCTAGGAATGCATGTGTTGTTCTGGAATAGCATCATTAAAGAACATAAATAAATTCAAAGGGTGGCCATTTTCTTTAAAATATTATACCAGGGACGTAAATAAAAGATGTTTCTAGTCATACTAGCTTAAACCTAAAACTTCAAGCAAAGGGAAAAAAACCTGGATAGTAAGACTCCAGTAAATAATACACTGTATTTATCATAGTTAAAAGTTACAGTCAATAAATAAAAACATCAAGTCAAGCCAAGAACATCATGGGCCTTTTTTGTTAAGCTGAGAAAAATTTTTTTCAAAATAATTATTTTTTCATAAGAGTTTAATTGAAACAGTCCCCGGGATTCATGATCATAAGTCTTTCCACCAATCCTGATTGTCGCCCGCGTGGCACAATGGTTAGAGCGTTCGCTCTAGAGTCGCGGAGTAAGGAGCTGATCCTTACGTCGCGGGTTCGAATCCCACTGTGGGACTTTGAGACCGGTCCTTCGGGTGAGACAGAATAAACCGAGGTCCCGTGTCGCAGTAAGTGCGGGCACGAAAAAGATCCCTCACTGCTCAATGGCCCTGAGTGCCGAGTATAGGTCAAAATTTGCAGCTCTCCATCGGCAAGTGGTGGCGTCTCCATATGATTGAAAAACTTGGGAGGGACGTTAAACAATAAACAAAACCAATTCTGATTATATATTTTTAGACAACTTACTAGGGAAAACAGCCTTTTTTGACAAGTTGAGAACATCTGACACTTGGTCCTTTCCAACAAGTCAAGATAAAGTTTTATGTTGGCTGATGGAAAAGGCAAACTGATCAGATGTTCTGATTGCTAAAAGAATGCATTTAAATTTCAGTTTTTGAGGTTAGTTTAATCAATATAGTTTGAAAGGAAGTGTCTTGAGCTTATAAACATGTGCAACCTGTGAAGGAGAAAAATGTGATGGACCAGACCAGGATTCAAACCCAGACCTCCTGAATGACTAGTCAGGTGTTCTACCAACTGAGCTATCTGGACACTGGCGATCAAACCTGCCTGACCGCCACATTCCTCCCTCCTTAAAGGACAAAAGTCTTCGCCCCAGAGACACCAACCCAGGTTCTACTGGCAGGTCTTTCAAATGACACTTCCAGTGCATATCATGGCACCAAATATAACAGGAAGGAGAAAAATGTGACGGATTAGACCAGAATTCGAACATGGGCTCCCTGAACTACTAGTTAGATGGTCTACCTACTGAGCTATCTGGTCACTAGCGATCGAATCTGCCTGCCAATTGCCAATTTTGTACAGGTATATAAATGCTAGCTATCAAGCCCTACCTCTCAACCCCCCCCCCCCCCCGACACACACACACTCTTTTGGTGTGACATTAAGGAAGATTTTACATTTTAGTTCATAACTAAACATTTGTGATGTATGTTTGTTTTATTATTAAAAAAAGAAAATTAAATGCAAACAATATAAAGCAATCTGCATACATACTAGACAATTTGTAGCCCTGTAGTTCGTAGGATAATATTTTTGAATATATCTTTCCTATATAGATCTACCAAAATCTTTGGACCCTCTTTGTGGTCTTATACTCAGAACAATCTACATAAAAATTAGGATGCCTGTACATATAAACTGTTTTGATAGCCTTGTAGTTCTTGAGAAGCAAAATTGTAGAACTTTAATATCAATCTGTGTTCCCATCCCTGCCCCAGCAGCCACATTAAAACAAGTTTGAATCTACTTTGTATGAGGAAGCCTGCAAACTGTAGCCCTGCATGTGGCTCTTGAAAAAGTTTGTAAAATTCTGGACCCCTTAACATGGCCAAAAGTGACATGGTTAGAATGAACTTGAATATTACAGGTTTAAGAATGCTTCCTTATATTGGCTAAGTGATATTAGTTAAAGGATTTTTAAACTGTCCAAATTTAGTTTTCATCCAGGGATGATATTTGGCAATTTCATGGGCTGACTGCAGCCTCGACTTAGGGGAAAACACAAATCCAGATTTTTTTTAATTCTTATCTCTTGTTAAGCCTTTTGGTGACAAACTGCCTGTAACACGTATGTTGAGGTCAACTGCATACTTTCTGTTTACTTTTTATGTGAACTCATGAAAGCCCCAATTTGATTGGTGCTTCTCAATGAGAGAAGCTTGCTTGAAAAAAAAAACTGAATGAAGTTTGTCAGGGATCCCACGGCCACAAGTGGACTCAGAACCCTGATGTTGTGAGGATGCCAGTAACATCCCCAGTAACATTATTTGTGCAAAATGTATCTATCAATGAACAGATTCATTTTGTCCAGTGTATCATAATTTTACATGGAAGTCATATACATTCAACACAATTTTACAGTGATGTCAGAATTAATCAACTTGTTCAACCAACAGATCATTCAACTTTTTTTTTAAAAAGGCATTAATGATTTTTTGAATTTAAGTTTGTAAGTAAACGATTATACAATGTCGTTAGTAAAAATATTCTATATTCCGATTTTTGATAAAAATGTTAGCTTTTTCTAGGGGTAGGAGCACAGGAGTTCGCAATTTTATCAATACCAATGATTGACCAAGCCATGAGCTTTGCGTTAGCTAGTTAGATTAAATTGCAAACTCCTGGGGTAGGAGTTTACTCAGAAGATGTAATCTTTTTTTATAAATGCTCTTTAACCAGCTGCATAGTCATTTTACGGGTAACGAATCAGTTTGTTGTTAAGTCTTGCATGCAACCTACCAGGGATGGGGAAATTTATAAAAGTAATTGTAATTGGGTGTAATTAATTACATTTTTCAAAGTAATTGGAAGTACATGTAATTTGTAATTGACCATTTTTTCAATTACTTGTAATTGAATATAATTAATTACAATAAAAAAAATACCCTGTAATTTCAATTACATTTCAATTACTTTACATAAAACATAAGTGTATTCGATAGGAAAATATTTCCATCACAGTCACATTTTACAGTTATTTGAATTCATTCAAAGAAGCCCTTCTGTTTATCAAAATCTTAAACTCTTTTATATCTCAATAAATGAATTTGATATATTGGCTTGTTTATAAAAATATTAGTTTGTTTTATAATTATAATGCACATAAAGATTAATACTAGTTTAATGTTTATCAAAAAGTTCTACCTCTCTTAGCATAGGCATGAAACATTTCAAATTTTTGGTGCTTGATTGTTAAAAAAGGATAGAAAATAAATTATTAATGTGTCATTAAGACCTGCCTTGTTGCCCTTCAACTTCCAGTTGTAAATTGCTATCAAAACAACCCTCCAAAATTTTATATAATTTTATTCCATGCTTTGTTTAAATTCAAAGATATGGCCGTTAAAGGTGATATATTAGATACATGTACTATTAAGAATGCTCTCCTATTTATATACTTCAGAAAAGAAATAAATATTGAGTCACTATTTTAACATTTAAACAGATCTTTATATACATGTATGCATTTTGAACCTGAAATAGTTAATACATAAAACAAGTATTATTTGTCAGCATTTGTAATTTAAGGTGTTTAGCTTGCCTGCCTGTAGCTGAAATAATTTGAGATTATTTTATGGTTGATTCATAAACTTTTGAAAACTTGCTTTGAACAAAATTTCATAAAGGCAGTCAAATAATATTGATAAAATTTATGTACTTGTAGGACTAGGTCTTATGTTGATGAAACACACAAACATGACAGGCACCTGACATTATTTATTTTTAATATCCCCCCTACCTTAAATTTACATACATTTGTTCTTCAAGATTTTTGAAAGTGAAACAAAAGTAAATGAAATGTATTTAATTACATTCTTCAAAGTAATTAATTACATTTTTGAAAATCAATGTAATTGTAACTGCAAGTATTTGATAAAATTTTCAATGTATCTGAAAGTATTTAATTACATTTCAAAGTAATTGACCCCAACCCTGCAACCTACATGGTTGCAGTTCCAAATGTTCTTGGTTGTAGTTTAATTTGTATTTCTATGTTTTTCAAATAAGTGGTACCAAAATTCCCAAAATATGAATGGTACAGGCACAGAGATGTCAATTACAACACCCCTCTATTTTCCTAGTTTTGAATTGATTTTTCAGTATCGAATCGAGCGCCCTCTACTATTGCTGACCCAATAAATAAAATCGGCGGATCGCAATTAATTATTGTTGAAATATGCCTTCAAGAAAATTCTACAAAAAGTATATAAACATTACTTGTTGATTTAAATGATTTTTTTCTTAAAACTAAGCAGAATAAAAAATTTTGCATTTTATAATAAACTTTTCGTGATATGCATTATTAACAAATTAAATCAACCATCTCTGAGACATAATTTTCATGGAATATCTTTCCTTGTAATTTGTTTTGATAGTATTTTCACATGTCAACTTTTCATGTTCTTGCATCCCGTAAAACGACATTTTTCGAACTTAAAAAATTCATGATTCGAAACTAGGAAAACAACAGGTGGTTAGTTAGGATGTTATGATTTCATTTAAAAGTCAATTATTGTTTATTTTAATATTCTAACTTGTTACAATTATCCTAAATATTGATAACAAACAACACACTGAAAAGTTTGATTTAGACGCATTTGTTCACACACTTTCGTTTTCTATGACTTGCACTTGCGAGTGTTCAAATCTGGGTCATTGTTTCAAATTGTAATATACATTCATTTAGGGTATTCCGAATCACCCCGCATATCGCGACTCTCGGTAATTTACCTTACCGCTGTACCTCGCACGACACATGCACACGTGACAACAAGTCATTATCGGCAAGGTCTATAATTATTGCATACAAAAAATAAAGAGGTAAACATAATGCGTTAAGTAAAAATATAATATTTTAATTCATTAACTTGCTATCCTTTTCGAAGAAAATGCACATGTAGAAACGTTGTTATTTCTCATCGATGTCGTGGCATTGTTCGTGAATGAAACATGGCATGTTAGGTATCGATAGAACGGCAATTCTATAAGCTTCTTCGAGTATTAATTGTTTTTTATAATACCTCAGAAATATACTACATGTAGGTATGGCCGCATTTGTAGCCCCCTACAGTTTGGGGTATTTCGAACAACGTGTGTACATGACCGCAGCCGAATAAATTGCACATACTACACACTTGTTATGTGTCAGATTGTTTTTCTTAAATACAAGGGGTATGAAAGTAATGATTTGACAAAGCAAGAGCTAATAAGACTATCCCGGGTCCCGGTATACACTTGATCAGTGTTGATCACTGTTGATCCTTTCATCATACATATACGGACACATATATGTACGAGTACAAGCAAGTTATGCAGTGATATATGTCATACTTGATAATCATGATATTTAAACATGAGTTGGTTTAATTCCTTTTCATAAATTTTTTATCATCATTATATCATTTTTGGTAGCCTACTCGTAGAATTATGACAGTATTAATTTACACGTTCAATGTTAATTGTTTTGCATTAAAAAATTCACATGGGTAAAAAATTGATATGACTATCATGATTATATTTACAGGACAACAATTTACAGTCAGGAATTTCTGAAAGTATTATTTTGTTGGTATTTGCTTTTCTGCATGATCCGCCTCTGAGAACACTGTTTTATAGTGCGTCTACAGAGGGGGGAGGGAGGGGACTTTAAAAACTTAATAAATAAACAAGAACAATTAACAAGAAAATAAGTCTTTATTTTTTTTATAATTTTGGTAAACAATACCAACTAATTCATTAATTATAGTGTTGTTATTTGACTGTTTTTAGCCATTTACCTGGTGATTCGAAATACCCGGAAGTGACCCGCAAAACACTAAAAAAGTGATGTAAATATAACCCTTGTCAAGGCCGCTGTATCGAAGATAGACTCACCGTGTAATGTAGATCTGATTTTTCACAGAATTGGCCTTTCTTTAATACCAATCAACCATTTATAAATTTGTTAATAAAATTGTTTACAGTCAAAATGTAAAAGGTGATTCGGAATACCCTATATGAATGTATTGTGGAAAATAATCATGCAGATGTTACAAAGACAGGGGTAGAATATTCATATTTTTATTGTATTTACCTAGTAAGAAATTTTTAAACCCGTCACTATGTTTTTCAAGAATAATTTAATTAAAATTATTCGATACTGGCAAATATTCTTTACTGGTAAAACGACTGTACAGCAGTACAAGCCTGAAATTCGTGCCCCGCCCTTTTTCGCTCTTTTTGCTGTGTGACATTTCACGTAAAATATTTTATAAACCAGATTACAATCTTCGAATGGGTATTTTACAAACAATAATGCGAATAATTTTGCATTTAAGAAATTAAGACTTACATTATTAGCAACACACTGATAGGTCAATGTTTTCCTTTTCGTTTTGGCAATGCCTAAGTCAAGTTAGCAGCCATTGAGCCAATACAAAATAATTGGGTTGTGTCTATATATCACGAGCCTAGCGTAGTTATGAATATTTATGAGGTATTGATAACAATAAAAAGTATATCTTGGTCAGCTCAACGAGATCCGGTATCCGCAATAAATTTAAAAAGAATAAATAACTTTATATATTCTTTTTAATAGTTTAATCAACGTTTAAATTTTTGTTTTATATACAAATAATAAACAATTCATTATTTTTTATGCAAGTTTTTTCCTCATACGAATATAATAATGTACGGAATGTATCAATAGCCTAGGGTACCGGACTCGTACCTGTCGTGTAGTACTCAGTAGACCGTATCAATAGCCTAGAGTACTGGTCTCTTACCTGTCATGTAGTACTCAGTAGACCTTATCAATAGCCTAGGGTACTGGGGTCTTACCTGTCATGTAGTACTCGGTAGACCTTATCAATAGCCTAGGGTACTGATCTCTCAAGTGTCGTGTAGTACTCGGTAGACCGTATCAATAGCCTAGGGTACTGATCTCTTAAGTGTCGTGTAGTACTCGGTAGACCGTATCAATAGCCTAGGGTACTGATCTCTTAAGTGTCGTGTAGTACTCGGTAGACCGTATCAATAGCCTAGGGTACTGATCTCTTAAGTGTCGTTTAGTTCTCGGTAGACCGTATCAATAGCCTAGGGTACAGGAGGGTCACTGTTATGTAGTTCTCAGAAGACCTTTTTAAAAACCTAGGGTGCAGGTGTGTTCCTTATTTTATATTGTACTTGGAAGAGCGTTTCAAAAGCCTAAGGTATATGTTGTACTCAGTAGAATGTATCTAGGTGTTTCTGTATTATTAAGACACAGGAAAATGGATGCTGGACTTAACATTATATTAGATCAGGTGATTTTCTGAAATATGTTTCATATTTGCTTCCTGGTTGTTTTATTTTAATACTGTTAATTTCTGAATTATTTATTAAATTTAGTTACAATTGATCTAGAGTTGTTTTGTTTAGAAAATTGATATCTATCTTCCCATCATTTACAATCTTATTTTCATTTTTTTTTCTTTTTTTTTTTTTACTTATTATCATTCACATTTTTTTCTTTTCTTTAGTGTCCTTGTTATTTTTTTTTTTTATTTATTTATTTATGAATATATTATTAGAATTTTTTATTTACATTATTTCTTTAATGTGCAAGATAAATAAGGTTAAATCAGTGTGGAAAACATTAAAAGAAAATATTGAGATGATGCTATCAATCGTTTTTCCATTCCGGAAATTGCATCGGATTCCTTTTAATCGTTAAAGGCATCTCATAAATATTCATAACTACTAGAAAACTGCGTTTATCGAACCCGACGCAAAATCAATAACTCATTATATTAAGCAGTGTGCCCAAACTAGGACTTGTGCCACTTAGGGGAGCCCGGGGCACTAGGGCTCGAGGGCGCCCCTGATAGGTTCCGGTCTCAAAAGGGGCAATATAAGCACCGCTTCTGGGCGCCAGCGCGCCAAGTCCACCCCTATTATGTTATACCCTCCAAAACAGGCACCATTTATATAATATATGTTTCTTAGTGTAGTCTGTATGTGAATCAAGTTTTACTGAATCATAAATAGGAATAGTAGCCGCATAATGACAAAAGGACGGCTGACGAAAACTTTCACATAAGCTTCGTGGTCTCTAAACAGTAGAGCCAATAAAAATGTAGACTACTATGGAACACCTCAGCTGCCTTATGTGGAGAATATTCATTATATGCTGATACTTTAACATTATATGCTGATTCTTTGTCATTATATACTGATACTTTGACATTTTATGCTGATACTTCGTCATTATGATGCCTATGAATAATTAATGAACGCGCTGCCTCGGAATTCTGGTGACCTGTTAATTCGTAAATTAGTTATGTCCTGTAAAGAAAATCTTACCTCATTTTATCTAAGATATTAAGCTTAACACGTATCCCTCATAAATTTATTTTAATTTACTTGTACTAATTCACCAGTACCATAGGAACAATATTACTTTTTAAATGTACACAATTTTGGGGGTAATAAACTTCTATTATCTGCGCAATTTAAATTGACCGGACATTGACAAGTAAACATTAGAATGATAATAATCTTAAGGTAGCAGTAGTTTAATTTCAATTTTATGTACGAACTTTGAAGTTTCTTTGTAATTTTTACAAAAATTTTTACATTGTTACCTATCGATTAGCGTTGACCATCATAATTATGTCTGTAATCTTTCATACACGAAAACTGAGGAAAATCGTCTAAAATGGCAAAGGGTTTCTCAGCCCGGTTAGTTTTTATTTCATGCATGAGCAATAATGAATGCACATTTTTCTGTAACGGTATCAGATTTTATTTTCGATTTCAATATGTCCCAGTGTACAACTCATAAAGACAAAGAAAGGTGTGCAAAGAAACAAATTTGAATGCTTGTTTTGATGTATATACTTCGCTGATTTTTCACACAAAAAACTAAATAATTTGGGAAAATGTAATCTTTTACATCAAATTAAGTTTTTTTCAAGTTTCTTTAGGGGTTTTAGGTTATGATAAAAGTTTATTGAATATACACTCATTGATTATCGTCACGGTGGTAAAAAAAAACATATCAACTTACATTATCGTGCTATAATCTTTAGATAATTTTTTGTTTAATTTTGAGATTAAACTTTTTATATACTTTTCTACAATTTTTAAAGTTAGCTTTTTACACTGAAAAAAAATCTGAAAACTTTTCTTCTATACAGTCTTTCGTTCGCAAAAACCCCTAAACCCCCCCCCCCTCGATTTAAGGATCTCAAAATTGATATTTAAATAAGTTCAGATTACAATGCGAGCTCAGTTTATTTTAATTTAATACAACCTAAATTAAAAAAAAAATATTTTTAAGACAAACTACAGTATGTTAATTTTTTTCTTCTTCACATCAACTAAAATTTCTCTGTAAAATATAATTTTTAATCACACATGCTACATGTATATTTCTATACTGTCAACAAAGCTCTCGTCTCGTTCGAACTGACATACAAATTTAAATGTACCTATATACGCTCTTGGCTCAATGCTAATCACTGCATGGTCGCGTGTGTAAGAATAAAGATGCACTTTGACGAACTTCTCGGTGTCCTCGGGGAATTTGGTCCCTACCAGAAATATGTCTATTTCCTTGTGTGCTTCCCTTCCATTACTGCCGCTTTTCATATGGTCAATTCTGTGTTTCTTCTGGGAATTCCAAAAACACAGGTGAAACATTTCTGGTATTGTTAACATTTTTCGCTTTCTCTTAAGAAATTAAAAAGTGTTCATTTAACATGTTAATTTGATCAATATTTGATGAAGAGAATTATTGATTAAATGTGGGTTGTTTTTTTTTTTTTTTTTTTTTTTTTTTTTTTTTTTTTTTTTTTTTTTTTTTTTTACTAATTTTCATATTTTTTGAAGTTTTCCTCCCTGTATATCTCGGAGAAATAGATGAAATATAAAATTTTTGATATAAAATGATTCATTTGAAACACGGTATTTGTTCTTCAACCACAATCACTTTTTATCAAACGTCTCTCTGAGATGTATTGTTTAGAAAATACGCATTGAAATAACGGATGATGATTTATTTCTTTTAATTGAAAACTTTTCAAAAAAGAAAATCTTTGCTTAAGTTGTGAACAAGGGGATATTCACTTTAAATATTAATCATGCCACACGGGAGCAAAAAATTCAACCTGTGTTGATTGTACCTAAACTTTTCAGTCCGTAGATCTGTAGAGGTTATAGGCCGAAATCTGTCCATTCTGTGAGAAGAAAGAACTGTTGGAGGGCCGTTAGGCAGTTTGAGGCCTATAACCTACTTTAAACATTTAGTCTATTATGTTCATAATGTATTCTCTTAGAACTCTTTCTTTTCCATTGTACTGAGTAAATATCGTCTACTTATTGGAATGTCTCAGGTAAAGGTTGTTTACAATAAAGAAAAAAAAATTACATTGTTTTTATTTGTTAACTTAGTGGACAGTTACAGGTAAGTACAATTTTTAAATGACTGAATAAAGAATATTTAACCACAAGGCATAAGATTCGAACACCAATTTCTTGTGATTGTGAATGCTGAAAGCATGTCTTTTTCCGAGGGAGAAAGCATATATCTGATGCAAAACAAATTAAGATATGTTGAACAATCTAATGTAATAATATAGATGTCATTCTCAAGTGATATTTTGGATTTTGAGCTTAGGATTGTCAAGATAATGAACTTTGAACTCAAAGTGGACGGTTTTTTTTTTTCTCTCATATATTTCTCAACTTTTAGTCAAGGCTATTCAAGAATGCAGAAAAACAAAAGGAAAGATTTCCGTAATTAAATCAACAATATTTAGATGATTTAGAAGAGGCTTATCGAAGAAAACGGAGCAGAAATGTAAATGGGCAGTGACTGTGTTCTTTAACTGGCAGATAGAGTGTTCAGTACCCAACGTTGATGTTTTCATGATTAAGAATGTCAAGGTGTTGAGTGATAAAGAAATCAACAAGATTATTAGCTTTTTTGTCGCTGAAGTTAGAAACGAATCGGGAGATAAGCCGAAGACTATTGACCAAACACAAAACATAAACTTTGCATTCCTATAATAAAAAAAAAACGATGGATGTGCTCCTGCAGAAAGTGAGCAAAATTATTGTACTAGTGAGAAAGAAGAAGGAGCGAATGATTCTTGCCGGAAAGGAATTTAAAAGGAGAAGTGATATTCCCACGTGTGCTGTTGTTGCAAGTAACATTCTAATAGAATTCGAAGATATAGTATTGTTTTAATGGACTTTGAGCTTGAATACTGTTCGTTATCCCCATATTTCATTCCTTCAAATTTAAGTTTTGACATTCATTTTGAGTTGGAATATACATTTCATCATATAATGAAACAATTTCAAAGTTTCAGTTTTTGTTTCCTTGACTTGGAATATATATTTCATTACATTGTGTAACATGTTGGATTCATTGCTTAAAAA